CCTTCTCCCCCTTCTCGCCCCTCTTCCGCGCCGCGCACAGTTAAATGTTATTACTTCAGTCGTTGCAGATAATTTCCCTCGTTTGTTCGCCGGAGCGGATTCTCAGCTTCGCTCCGCTAGGCCCGAGGCTTTACGAGAGAGAGGTGAAGCCTTGTCAATTTGAATACGCGCGAAAGGTGTGCGACGCTATTGGCAGAAATAACGTCAAGCCTTTACGCCGAGTCGACAATACGAGTAGTTAATTATTTCCTTACTTTCGCGAATGCAAGGGATGACGAAAGAGGCCCTTAATATTTTATTGTCACAATAAAAATATATATATCGCACTAAAAATACTATATTATTATATATATTATATTTTATATATTAATATATTTATTAATATATTTTATACCATATATTATATTTATATATATATTTTTTTTATATTTATATATATCATATATATTTTATATTACATATCATATATTATATATTATATATTATAAATATATAATATATGATATGTAATATATATATATGATATATCTCCCTATAAAAATCTATCTATCCCTCTAATATATTATATTAATCCCTCTCTTCCTCTCTCCCCTATATCTAATAATATAGTCTTTTTTAGTGCCCTCTCTATTATCTTTCTCTCTATATTTTTTTTCTCTTTCCTCTCTTCCTATCTTTCTTCCTCTATCCTTATATTATCTATTAATATATTTTTTATATTTAAAAATATTAATAATAAAAAATACTATAATGTAAATTAATTTTTTCAAACATATCTAGATTAAAAATTTAATTTGAAAAATGTTCCAAATTAAATTTACGTCCGATAGAATAAAACTTTCGGTCGAGCGAAACCGCACAGCGGTACGTTTTTCAGCAACGAGAGAGAGAGAGAAAGGAAGAAGGGAGAAATGGTTCTCCGCTTTTTAGTCGCCGACATTTTTGTTCCCTCCCCCCCCTTCCTCCCCCTGCAGGGCGGGGTTGCGTGCATCGGGGTGACTGCTGGTCTTGCACTAGCGCTCTTTTCTCTGCGGTAAGCGCTCCCGGTAATGCGCTTCTTGGTGCATTAACCTGAACCAGGCAACGCACGCACATATACATATACACATATCTGTGTACGTCAAACCTTTTGTCCCCCCTCCCCTTCTTCCCTCTTCGTTTCCCGGTGAGCGCCGAGTTTAACGCAAACCGCCCTCCGGAGAGAAGAAATGAGCTTCTTTTTTCTCTCCCCTCGGCTATATCTTACGCAATCTCCTTCGCAATCGTTTTCTCTGCGGGTTTTCCGCCACCAGCTGAATTAGCCAATTTTTCCGCCGATTTTGTTTCCTTGAAACCAACGCATTAACAGTCTTTCTTTAAATGCTTGATATTTACAACATATTTGAATTTTTCTGTCATTACTAGTATTTTCATTTTTATCAATAATTATAAAAGCGTAAAAAGTATTGATGGGAGAGAACTAAGAAAGAATCTGCTACAAGCAGCTTGTAAGGAAATTAAAAATTTATGAACTGCGATTTTTATCGAAGTAGCTAATTAATAAAAGAATAAAAGAATTTTATCTAGATATATTTAAAACAAAATCATTTTTATCTTATCTAAGAGGAATTTACATATTTTTATCTCATCTTATAAAATTATTATCTAGAAAATTATCTAGATGAATCGCTATATTATTTTATATTTTATCTAGATATATTTAAAACAAAATCATCTTTATTTTATTTAAGATGAATTTACATATTTTTATCTCATCTTTATCTCATCTTATAAAATTATTATCTAGAAAATTATCTAGATAAATCGCTATATTATTTTATATTTTATGTAGATATATTTAAAACAAAATCATCTTCATTTTATTTAAGATGAATTTATATATTTTTATCTCATCTTTATCTCATCTTATAAAATTATTATCTAGAAAATTATCTAGATGAATCGCTATATTATTTTATATTTTATGTAGATATATTTAAAACAAAATCATCTTCATTTTATTTAAGATGAATTTACATATTTTTATCTCATCTTTATCTCATCTTATAAAATTATTATCTAGAAAATTATCTAGATAAATCGCTATATCATTTTATATTTTATGTAGATATATTTAAAACAAAATCATCTTCATTTTATATAAGATAAATTTACATATTTTTATCTCATCTTTATCTCATCTTATAAAATTATTATCTAGAAAATTATCTAGATGAATCGCTATATTATTTTATATTTTATGTAGATATATTTAAAACAAAATTATCTTCATTTTATCTAAGATAAATTTACATATTTTTATCTCATCTTTATCTAGCTAATTTCAAAATTATCTGAGCACAACCCTGATTATAAGAGTGTAAAAAGTCTCGAGAGAAGACTCGAAAGAATCTGCTGCTTGTAAGGAAAATAAAAAATTTATGAACCGCGATTTTTATGGAAATCGCTAATTAACAAAAGCAAGTACATGTATATTGAATTAAAAGCCGCGGTCCGTCAAAAGACGTCGCGCAACTATCTGGAAAGAAATTCGTGATTGAATTTACAATTAACTTCTTTTCCCTCATATCCTTATTCCGCCCTCATATCCCTTTGAACTTACCTCACTTCGCGATTCCGAGAGAAAATTCTGAAAAAGTGCGAAAGAGCGTCAGAGTAAACGTAAGCGGGCGGCAGGTGGAAACCTTGAAGAAGAACGTGAAACGAAAGCGGATGTCGCGGTCTAAGGGGGACGAAATCGTTAAAAGGAATGCGCAGTCAAGCGAAAGAGGCCTCGAGAGAGATTGGCAGGGGGTGAAGAGTTGGTCGGCCAGTTGAAATAATGTAGAGAAAGCTCGAAAAAGCTTCGCCAGAAATCCAGGAAGACACCAGCCACCCTATTCCATTTCCAGTTCTGTCGTTTTTTTTTTGGGAAGGAAGACAAATTTCCTTCTTTTTTTTTTTTTTTTTTTACTTCAACTTTACATTAGCAATATTAATTTTACGAAACGCTGTTTTAATCGGTCCTTTAAACGAGTTCGGATAGAATTTTAGTTTCTCGATTAATGCAGCGTTTCGTAAAATTAACATTGCTAACGTAAATTATCAAAGTAAAAAGAGGGAGGAAATTTTTTATTTCGATTTTACATTAGCAATATCAATTTTACGAAACGTTGCATTAATCGCTTCTTTAAACGAATTCGGATAAAATTTCAGTTTTTCAGTGGAAATTCGACGATAGTTATTTCAAGCAAATTATTGATGTATTTTCGATATTAAATGTGTCGAATATTTTATATACTTGATATTTCATTTTTATTGTAATTGAACTTTTATTTTAATTGCAATAAAAATTATATTGTAAATAAATTGGCTGGATTGAGTTATACAGTTTGAAATATTTTTCAAATAATAAAAATTTAAATTAGAATTCTTAATTCTGTGGGTTTTTTTTGGAAAAAAAGAAAAATTTCCTCTTTTTTTTTACTTTGACTTTACATTAGCAATATTAATTTTACGAAACGCTGTTTTAATCGTTCCTTTAAACGAATTCGGATAGAATTTTAGTTTTTCAGTGGAAATTCGACGACAGTTATTTCAAGCAAATTATTGATGTATTTTCGATATTAAATGTGTCGAATATTTTATATACTTGATATTTCATTTTTATTGTAATGAAACTTTTATTTTTATTGCAATAAAAATTATATTGTAAATAAATTGACTGGATTGAATGATACAGTGTAAAATATTGATATCAAAAAATAAAAATTACAATTAGAATTCTTAATATAGTATATAAACAAAAAATTGGATTTTAAATAAATTTGTGGAAAAGCAAAAATTTCTGAATATTTATATTAGAATAATTATATAAGAAAAGCTGATTATATATATATATATATACAATATTAATATACAGTAATAACAGACTATATAATCATACCGATCGATTTTGATTTTAAATTATGATATGCATACTTTGAATCATATCTTCTTATCGCAAATGTTTGATATTTGCGATGTCGTGTGTGTTTTAAGAGATTAAATCGTGGCATAAATTTGCAGAGTGATACCAGTATGGCTAACAAAAGCTTTGAATCCAGCCTTGGGTTTGTGTTTTAAGATAATTGCTCTTTTCTTCTCCTTTTTTTTCCTGTAAAGCTTATCTAAAATAAGTCTTTCAAAAATATGTTTTTCTTTGACCTCTGCGTATCAATATTTTTTTTTCGATTTAAAAAAAGTTAGCGTGCAGGCTTGTTTGTTAGCGATTTTTATTGAGATTTTTAGTGATATTACATTTTTTAAAAATGTAGAAATAATTTTTCGAAAAAATAGCATCATTTCCTCATTTTCTGGTGTAGTTATAATTATGTATGTACAGGCTTTTTAATTTTCTGCTAAATTCTCTGTACAAAGCATTATAAGTATTATGTATGATTTATGAATCAAAGATCGAGAAATTATAATGATATCTTGGCTTTAAACGATTCATAATTTATAATACAATTAGGGACAAAAATTTATTTATAATTTATGCATCATATAATATAAAACATTTAAATAAATTAAATACATATGTATATTATATATATGTATACGTGATATTATATATTTATATAAGATATATATATAAGAAATACACACACACACACACATATATAGAACATGTGAACATAAAAATATAAATAAAACTTATCTTAAAATAAATAGAATAAAATCTTGATAGAACTTTATCTTGAATTAAATAGATTAAATAAAACATAAATAAAACTTAATCTTGAATTTTGTAGAGATGTACAAATCGTCTAGAAGTAGATTTTATCCATATTGAAAGTTCAGTGTGCTTGGTTACCTTGGGATAATTTTTATCACTTCTTTAATGTCGCAAGGAAGTTGACGTCGAGGAAACGAGCGATAAATTAATTGCATGTGTTAATATACATACATGTGTTAATGCACATGTGTTAATACACACAAAGGTCGGTCTCATAATTCTTCTTTGGATGGGTTATCGCAGACAGTTGCATTTTATATCCCGCGATATTAACACGCATAATTAAACTCGACACGAATCGACGTCATAACTTATTAAAAAGTCTTGTTTCGAAAAATATTTTTTTTGCACCAAACTGTGATTTTTTTCTTTGCGTCATACCATTTATCTTAAAATGAGGCAAATCCCTGCGATTAATTTGATCGCATTTTGCGCATTCGTGTTGTTATTTGTCGATAATAACAGTGTAATGGTAAAAAGTCACAGTGTGAAAGATTATTTCAAAGTTTTTCGCGGACTGTCGCAAATTAAGAACCTTCGACATGGAATTCTTCCAGGTAAATTTCTTTATTTTATTCTACAATAAACATTTCAATTGCTTTATAAAATACATAATTTTTAGATTTCATCTTTATTTAAATAACTTTTATCTTTTTATATTCTACAAATAATATATATCACACACAGTGGAATAATAATTTGTATGTATATCGATTTACATATTTTATTTTTTATCTTTCTATATCCAAAAAATAATTATTATATCAGCGGTATAATAATTTGTATACATTATTACATACATATTTTATTTTACTAGAAAAATGAGCAATTATATATATATATATATATATAATATATCTGTAACACCTGTAACTAAATTTATTATTTATTATAAGTTAATTTATATATTTTATTTTATTATTTTATTGCTTGCAATTTATTATTTATCGCAAAATATTGTATATTAATCTTTTTATCTTTCTATAGCCAACAAATAATTATTATATCAGCGGTATAATAATTTGTACACATTATATATTTTATTTTAGTAAAAAAATATATTATTTATTATAAATTGGTTTATATATATTATTTAATTAAAAAAAACAAATTTTATACTTGCAATTTATTATTTATCGCAAAAGTATTGTATAGGATTAATTTTTTATTTTCTAGTTTCTATTTTATTTTTTAGTATTCTTATTATTGTTAATTTTTTATCTCTCTGTAGCCAACAAATAAAATTATTATATCAGCTTTATAATAATTTGTATACATTATATAATATTTTATTTGAGTAAAAAGATGCTGTAATACCTGTATAACGTCTAAATTTCTTATTTTTTATTTTCTAGTTTCTATTTTATTTTTTAGTATTCTTATTATTGTTAATTTTTTATCTCTCTGTAGCCAACAAATAAAATTATTATATCAGCTTTATAATAATTTGTATACATTATATAATATTTTATTTGAGTAAAAAGATGCTGTAATACCTGTATAACGTCTAAATTTCTTATTTAACGTCACGTAGAGATATCGAACGGTTTGTATTCTCGACACCGTATGCTTATATGTATAGGTACGCTCTGGTGCGGCCGGGGAAATATCGCTCGCGATGATTCCGAATTGGGTGTGTATAGCGAGCTGGACGCGTGCTGCAGAACGCACGATCGCTGCGAGGATTTCATAAAACCTAAAGCTACGAGATACGGACTGCACAACAAATACATTTGCAGAAGGTATAATATACATATGTAATGCAACGTGCAATTATTTATGACGTTGCCGAGCGCGCGAACTGACTTCTGACTTTTCGCAGCTCGTTATGCGAGTGCGATTTGCAATTTTACGATTGTCTGACGCGAGTGCGCGGCCTGTACGCGTCCACCGTGGGAAGGATATACTTTAAAAAATGCAAGCAGTGCTTCCGTACCTACTACGATCCTCAGGAATGCGCGAGAGAGTAAGTGCAACGAGATATGCATGGTATAATATGCATGCGAGAGCGTCCGTAGGATTTTTTCCCAAGGTGGACATGATTAGATTTTTTGTTTCTTATGTTTTGTTCCTTCTTAATTTTTTAAATTTTAATTTTTTTTTTTTTATTAATTATATGCAAATTCTGTGTTTACTCAAAAGGAGAGCGAATGCGGAATTTTTACTGCTAATTCCAATTTAAAAAGTATATGTAAATTCATCTTAGATAAGATGATTTTGTTTTAAATATATGTCTAGATAAAAGATAAAATTATATGATTGATGTGTTTTGTTTCTTCTTAATTTTTTTTTATTTTTTGTTACTTTATTTTCATTTTTTTATTAATTATATGCAAATTTCTTGTTTATTTAAAAGGAGAGCAAATGCGGAATTTTTACTGCTAATTCCAATTCCAAAAGTATATAAATTCATCTTAGATAAGATGATTTTGTTTTAAATATATGTCTAGATAAAAGATAAAATTATATGACGATATTCACACATCTAGATAACTCTCAAATAATATTTTTAAGACCGTTTATATAAATACAGTTATAAAAAAATGTAAATTGTAAAAAAGATATAAAAATATATTCATACTTTTATTTAAGTTTTACTTAAGTATTTTGATATATGACTCTAAAGCAAATTATCTGAACATTATTCTAGATAATTTATTAAAGATGACACGTTTTCATCTAACAATAAGATGCAGATAAAGATAATACATATTTTCATATCTATATAAAGACAAGATAAATACCAAAATTTAATTTAGATGATCGTCTACATAATTTTATTTAAATAACAGCAAATCCTGTATATATAATATGTATCAAATTTTGCCGGAAAACCCGAGGGTCTTATAACAAGATTTAAAACGAGAATAGAATGTTTTCTGGCCAATTATCGCAGTTCAACTTGAGACGATAATATCAACGAGCTTGCGCGTTGCATTTTGACGTTCCATTATTAACGAGAGAAAGGTATCACATTCGCTTAATTGTTATCCATCAATTAGCGGAGTGAAAAGCGAGCCGCGTCGAAAATTGTTTGTTATTTTGACGTCGATTGATTCTCCATACCGAACATTAATTAATTATCATCGTTCGTTCAGGGATATTCACGATGTAACCGAGGAGAGTGATCGCAAAGGCCGTCGCGTTTTCTGCGCCAAGTTCGACGAAAATCCAAAATGGGGCCATCGACACAACGCCACTTCGCCGAGATCGATCTACGTCGACGAACTTTTAACCTGGCCTGATGACGGAGCAGCCGGCCAGCAGCCCGGCTCGCAATCCTATTTCGCGAACGATGGAAAATATTTTGCCGGCGAAGACGAGGATGTGACAGCTGTCGAAGATCATTATTAATGCAATTATTTTCATATCTCGCGCTTCACCCAGTTTCGCTAAAATGACTCGAGAACAGATAAACAATTGTGATCTTAGTCGCAGGATTATTTGAAAATTATATCCCAAGTATCGAAACGTCAAAATAAATTTTTAGCGTGTTATTTTTAATGTTAATTAATTTTATATTTAATAAGAATTTAGATTTAAGATTAATTTTCTACTCGATAGTTTTGAAATATTTAATGCCTCTTTTTCTGGTATATTTTATGATAAAATTGAAACGTCAAAATAAATTTTATGCCACATTTTTAGCGTGTAATTTTTAATGTATAATTAATTTTATATTTGACGAGAATTTTTAAATAAGAATCGAACTCAATAGTTTTGAAATATTTAATGCCCTTTTTCTGGTATACTTTATGATAAAATTGAAACGTCAAAATAAATTTTATGCCACATTTTTAGCGTGCAATTTTTAATGTATAATTAATTTTATATTTGACGAGAATTTTTAAATAAGAATCGAACTCAATAGTTTTGAAATATTTAATGCCCTTTTTCTGGTATACTTTATGATAAAATTGAAACGTCAAAATAAATTTTATGCCACATTTGTAGCGTGCAATTTTTAATGTATAATTAATTTTATATTTGACGAGAATTTTTAAATAAGAATCGAACTCAATAGTTTTGAAATATTTAATGCCCTTTTTCTGCTATATTTTATAACAGAATTAAAACGTCAAAATAAATTTTATGCCACATTTTTAGCGTGCAATTTTTAATGTATAATTAATTTTATATTTGACAAGAATTTTTAAATAAAATCGAACTCAATAGTTTTGAAATATTTAATGCCCTTTTTCTGGTATATTTTATAACAGAATTAAAACGTCAAAATAAATTTTATGCCACATTTTTAGCGTGCAATTTTTAATGTATAATTAATTTTATATTTGACAAGAATTTTTAAATAAAAATCGAACTCAATAGTTTTGAAATATTTAATGCCCTTTTTCTGGTATATTTTATAACAGAATTAAAACGTCAAAATAAATTTTATGCCACATTTTTAGCGTGCAATTTTTAATGTATAATTAATTTTATATCTGACAAAAATTTTTAAATAAGAATCGAACTCAATAATTTTGAAATATTTAATTCCTATATTCTATACATTTTATGATAAATTTTTTTTGCCTCTGTCGCAAATTTTTCACTTGTAAAAAAACGCAGGGGGTCACGAGTTGCCGCCTAAATCGCATTGACACTATAGAAAGAATCGTGCCCCCTCGAGTACGATTCCGAAGTCCGCTCCGAAATTGCTTCGCCCTCGATACGGGGGTTGTTCGAAGAAGAAGGGGTTACTTGAAAATCCGTCGAGAATTTTATCGCGAGGCCGTAGACACGGGCGGTCGAATGAGCGAAGCTATCTCCATTCCGTGAATTTTTTCTCCTCTTTTTACTATACCTTTTTGCAGCTTGGGAATTGTGCTGCTGCCCCCTTCTTTTTTTCTCTCTCTCTCTCTCACGCCGAAAGAATGTTCAATTATGCAAAAGTGCGCGCGCGAAAGTTTCGCCACGGGAGCGCTTGTTCGACGAAGGGTGTTTCTGAATTAATATTGACGAGAAGGTTGGTTGGGAAAAAGAAGAGGGGGTTAATGCAAATCAACACAACAGTCGGCGCGTTGTTAAAAAATTGTCCCTCGCATACGCTTTATTGTTGTTTGCATATCCGCTTTTCATGCAACGTCTCGTCAGTTTGACAATTCAAACGACACGTCGGCAAGAGATACTCTTAGTTTATACACGTTGCTTTTGGAAAAATTGTATGGAATTTTTATACAGATGACGTGTATATACAGGGTGTCCCAGAAGTGGCGGAAAAGTTTTTCATGACAGATTCCTGGTGTCATTTGCAGACGATTTTTCCTTAGTGAAAATGTTGAGGGAGGCCATCATTTTTAGCATATTCCCAATTTTTGTTATAATGTATTTTTATAATTAATTGTAAGCCTTATATTAAAATTATATTAAGTTTCCTTCAGTTCTGGGACACCCTGTATATGCGAGTTCCTAGATCTAGCGTTTTTCTTTTACGTTACTTGGGCGAATAAAATATTACGGTGATAAATTATGTATTCTGATAAAGTGGTCAACAATAATAATTCAAGCTTTACGCGGACGGAAACTAATGGGATCAAGTATGAAATTCCGCGATTTCACCTAGATATATGTATGCGAAAAATATTTCGCTCCTGTCAAATTATCCGGAAAGTCCGAGTTTTTTTCCAAGATCAATCTTCAGTTTTCGTTCGTGTAACAGTCTTACTTCTATTTCTCGCGCGAGCGAGAAGCTTCTTTCATTAAAGGACACGCTTTTTATATTTCTCGGCGCTTTATTAAAAAGCCTTTAGGAATATTGCCGCGACTTGAACCTCGCTCGTTTGAAATCTCCCTTAAGTGCCTCGTATTATATATAGAATCCTCCTCCCGAGGAAAATGGCAATTGCTAATAAAAAATGTACGAGCAATTTTCTTCCATTCGTCACGGACGAGGCGGAAAATATGAGAGCGCCTAATATTTTTGCACGATCTTGCACTGTAGTTTGCACAGGATTTCTAATTGGAGTTTCATTAACTTGAATGAAAACGGGTGATGCCAACAGAATTTTAATTGGAGTCTTTTGATAGATTTTTTTACCCGGTTCTTTTAATTCCTATATATCGACGGGAAGCACAATGAACTAATATTACATGACGGTATACATATATATCCTTTATGCAGGACGTCCGATAAATTGTCGGCGTGAATAATTTCTCATAAAGGAACAAATAAAAAATATGGAATAAATTTCATCAACGTTGTGTCCCGAAAAACCAGCTCTCTCTCTCCCTTTTCGATAAATATGCGTGCGTGTAAATAAAAAAAAATATGAAAAAAATATGTTACAGCAAAATATTACATATATATATATATATATATATATATATATACATAATTAAGAATATATTTTGTATTACACGTGCAAGCAAAGTGGCACTTTGTGTGCGTGTTTTCTGTGCGGAAAGCGGCCGATTTCCCACGCCGCCATCTAGCGGCGACGCGGTGAGTGAATAAGCCGCATTCAAAGCCATTGCCTACGGCTGAGTCGCGTTCAAAGTCATTGTCCACGGCTGAAGCCGTAGGCAATGTATTGAACACGGCTATTCCCGCACCGTGCCGCCGCAAGATGGCGGCGTGCGATCGGCCACCTCGCGCACAAAACCACTTTGCCTGCACTTGTAATACAAAAATATTTAATTAAACATATAAAAATATTTAAATATAACATGTAAAATATACTATTTGATATCTGGAGAAAGGAGGAATTCGCTACATCTCAAAGGGGTGTTTTCCGCTCGGCTTCCCCAGGAAAGAAAAGCGTCGTCCACATGACGCCGCTATTTTCTCATATATGCGACGCCACCCTTCATCCGTGTCGTCGACAAAACCGCGGGTGGTTTTTATTAAAATGTTCAACCCTCTTCCCCACCCCGTTGAAGAAATCAATTCGACTCTCGGGCGATATTACCGGCCTTTTCTCATCCCCTTCGAGTCTCCTCTCTTGCCCGAATTTCGATTTCGTTTGAATCATGCGCGCATATCGACTTACCTGCCTCGCCGGATTATCCGCGAGAAAAAGGCAGGAAGATTGGAAAGGAAGAAGGGGGAATCGACGTTCTGGAAAGGGTTGGAAATGGGAAGGCGTCGCGTTTTCGCCGTCGACACGTTTAGATCGCTGCACACCTCGATTTCGTAATCCGCACGGATCCCACAGGGAGGACACACAGATCATTTTTAGCCCCTTTGCGCGTTCGTGGCGCGAATTGAGACATCGCCTCTGAGAATCAAGCTGTCAGGAAGCTAGAGGCAATACGCGAAGCTTTTGAATACGTCCTGGATAATAACAGAGTGTCTAGCGGTCAGGGAAATCTGGGAAACCGGAAATCTGGAACTGTCAGGAAAAGTCAGGAAATTTGACTATTTATCTATAATTATTATCTATGATTTGAAATTTTTTATTCAATAAATGTACACTTTTCCTTGACTCTCGGCACACTAGTTTTCTGTGTTGTCAAAAATCGATTCGTCTACAGCGGTTCGTTAATTTAATCATTAACATGATTTAATTGATTTATCATATAGATATATGCAAGTTATATATTTGGAAAAAATAATACTAAAAAGTCAGGGAATTTTTTTCATTGAGTCTGCTGAACACTCTGAAATACGTCCTGTATAATAACTTTAATCAAACAAAATTATTCTCTCTACAAAATTATTTAATATCGTTGAACGTAAAAAAATGTTTGAAAACAGAAACTGTAATGAAAAAAGCAGGATAAATATTACATATAATATTTCGATACGACATAATATTTTATGTAATATAATATTTTTTAATATATATTTTTATATATAATATATTTTTTATATATATATATTTTTTTTAACATATTATATTATATTTGATAAAAGCATTTTTATATTTTTAATATAATATTTTATGTGTGCTTGATATAATTTTTTATAACTGACAAAGAACTTTTAATTCTATTCACTACAGGTTTGTGAATTGCAAATACATTCAACATCAATTTAAATAATTATCTCCAATTGTGTGCTCGATGCGAGCGAAAGAGTTAAAAGTAACGAGAGCAAAGAAAAAAAGGAGAAAATGGAAGTAATCGATTGTTTTCCTTTGGCGCGTTTGTTCGCCGAAGATAGGTGGTTCAGTTTCACCGATCACGTTTGGTCTGATTGATCCTCAGCTGTGTATCAAGTACACTTTCGCAAGTGAGAAGCCAACAATCTTCTCGTGAAGAATTGCGCGACTCGCGTGATATAAATGGCGTGTTCATCTATCAGATCACAAGAGCTTTAAAAATGCTTCCCTGTCACACGGACAATGCACACGCGAATCGAAAGTTCACCCGTTTTCTTTACTTGACCGTTTATGTGACGCGATAGAGCGCGAAAAATCGCAAAGAAAAAGGATGAGCTTTTCTCTCAAGCTTCCGCGCAGCGAACAAAATCCTAAATTCGTAAATAAATAAACACTGTTAAAAAAATTTTTTTAACTGACAAATATTTAATTTACGATATTTCATTCTCAAACACAGTAAAAATGGCGAAAATAAAATTTGTGCGTAACGCGGTTTAAAATAACTAATTTTCATAATTATAATACTTTAATTAATTTCAATCCAGTTTTCAAGATTTTATATAAAAAATCCCGACGTCGCCTCTCGCGTTAAAAGATAACTCTTCTTATTTATTTTTATCTCTAAAATTAACATTTATTTTTAATATTTTTAAATTAATTATTTTAATTTATTTTTTTTTATTTACTATTTATTTATTATTATATTTTATTATATTATATTATATTATTATTATATTATATATACTATTATATATATATATTTACTATTTATTTATTATTTGTATTTACTGTACTCGAGTTAGAGATCTTATTAAAATTACAATGTTTGACTATGCAAAATTATTACAGGAAAGAGGCCGATAAAGAAGCTTAAAGATATAAATAGATTATATTGAAAAAATATTGTATTTATTTACCGCTTAGGAGAAAGAGTCCGCAGGCCACGAGGGTCCTGTGATCGGAATAACAATGGCCGATCAGAGCTGACACTGTTGCAGCAAGGATCAGGATCGCGGCGGCGACTTGGAACGGTGCGGATATCCTGGAAGAATAAACAACAGTGCTTTCAGATAGTCGTGTAAAAGAGATATGAGAGAGAAAGAGAATGTCGCACTATTTTTAAATATTCCATTTTACAATCTATGGGAAAAAGCGATATATAAGAGCCCTTTCTCTTTCGTTGTTGCAACCCGGAATCGATGGCAATTTATAGAGCAGCCTTATTAAGGTGCTCAAGTGTTACTTTACATCTTAGGTAGGAAATTCTTCTACGAGGAAAATAGAGAATATTTCGATTTATCTATGTCGTTCAAAAAGATTGACTTATTTGACTTTTTGCGAACGCGAGTTCCAGCTTTAATCTGTCATTAAATAATTTATCATTTATTTTCTATGGATTCCCTCTGCAATCAGATTGATATATTTTATTGTATGCGGTAGAGAAAAATTTTGTGTTAGATAATTAACATATTTAAGTGTTAATTTAACTTAAATGTTACATTATATTAAAACAACTAGAATAAATGTAAAAATAACACAATGTGCACTTATTTTTAATTTTATCTCTTGAAATTTACAGAAAAAAATGTTGACTTTTTTTATTTTATAATATAAGTGGGAATGATAAAATCTAAAATTAACATTTTTACATTAAAACTATGTTAATTTTACACAAAATTTATTTTGACTCACTTGAAGTTTTGCATTTCCTTTGTGTTAAAATATTAACAAAATATTTGTGTCTCTATATCTATATTATATTAAATTAACACAAAAATTTTTGTAGATCGTTTGGAACATGTGAGATATCTCTTAAATTTAGCACAAATGTTTCAACTATGTACACAGTTAAAAAATTTCTGTTAAATTTAACAGATATCACATATCCCAAACGGTCCATAGAAATTTTTGTGTTGATTTAACATAATATGGATATGTTAAATGGAGACATAAATATTGTGTTAATATTTTAACACAAAATAAATGTAAAACTTCAAATAATTTAAAATAAGTTTTGTGTGAAATTGACACACTTTTAATATAAAAATTAACAAAAAATATGTTAATTTTAGATTTTATCATTCCCACTTATAAAATAGAAAATAAACATTTTTTCTATAAATTTTAACAAATAAATCTTGTCACTAATAAAGCAAAACATATTTATTGTGTAAAATTAAAAATAAAAACATATTATTTTATTTTTACATTTTTTCCGTTGTTTTAATAATTTAACATTCAAGTTCAATTACCAAAACACTAATATGTTAAATTAACACATAAATGTGTTAAATATGTAACACAAAAATTTTCACGGGGACCGTTTTTAACAAGAAAACAAATTTTTCTACAGTGTAGCGTTTCGAAATCTGCGCATCAGATTCTTAAAAAAAAAAAAAAAAAAAAGGGGGTAGCTTCCCGAACGATCACCCAACTCGAATTTGTTGTTTAAAGCACGATAGAGGATAGCGAATACGAAGTATATTTTTCATACTTGGAAGTTTGGAGCGAAGATAGCTTTTATAACGAAATTCCCGTCACCCTCGGTCCTTAAACCATCCCCTTCGATACGTATAGTCACCCTCAACCCAGCCTCGCAGTGGAACGCGAATCGTTAACATCGCGAAGGATTGTCGTTTGCAGGCAGAGGGTGGCTACCCGCGATGTGGCGGCTCTCGAGAGTTTCGAAGCTGCGCCATAATACACGTATTCGCAGCTATCGGGGTAAATGGGGCATGTATATCCGGGTAAGGGCGCGCACCAAACCCATCTATCGATCCGCTCCGACCGGTTTAAATCTCGATCTCGCGCAACTTTAAAAAGTTTCGCGTTTAAAGAGCACGCAGCGAGAAAATTGAAGAAATAAATATTTGAGTAAGAAAATTTTATTTTATTTTTTGACGGGAAAAAATTCTCCCCCAATATAAATAAAATTGTAAATGTTTCTTCCTTATAATTAATAAATATTTTTCATTAGAACTTTATTTGAGTAAAAAAATTTTATTTTATTTTTTTGGGGAAAAAAAATTCTCTCCTAGATATAAATAAAATTAATACAATTATAAATGTATTTATTCCTTAAAATTAATAGATATTTTTTATAAGAATTTTGGAAGGGACAGAGATTTTAATACAATTTTATAATTATGTTACAATTTAATTTAATATTAAATAATAAATTTAATATTATATAAAAAATTAAAATTAATAAATATTTTTCATTAGAACTCCATTTGAGTAAAAAAATTTTATTTTATTTTTTTGGGAAAAAAAAATTCTCTCCTAGATATAAATAAAATTAATACAATTATAAATGTGTTTATTCCTTAAAATTAATAGATATTTTTCATAAGAATTCCATGGAAGGGACAGAGATTTTAATACAATTTTATAATTATGTTACAATTTAATTTATTATTAAATAATAAATTTAATATTATATAAAAAATTAAAAATAATAAATATTTTTCATTAGAACTCCATTTGAGTAAAAAAATTGTATTTTATTTTTTGGGAAAAAAGAATCATTAGAATTCCATTGAAGGGACAGAGATTTTAATACAATTTTATAATTATGTTACAATTTAATTTAATATCAAATACAACATTTTTAAAAATATTGTAAAATACGGGAGAAACTTGTTACACGCGCATCGCTCGACGATTCACGCGCAGTTCGCGTAAATTATGAAAATTGAGCCCGGAGGGATTTTCAAGGAAGATTACCCAGCTTTGATGAATCTTGCGTAAATCCGCGAATAAATTCGCGCGCGAGAGACAGAGAGAGAGACGAAAATTTCCGGACGGTCAGCCGGTTTTCGGAAGGCGAAACGCGAGGTGTCTCGAAACTCTCTCTTCTGCATGCAACAATGCAATCGCGTGTCGTCGTCTCACGATCCCGTCGCCGCCCGGTAATATCGTGGAATCGAATTATGCGGCGTCGGTCTCGCTGCGGGAGATGGGAATTAATAGTTTCGGAGCCGGCAGAGAGAGAGAGAGAGAGAGAGAGACAGAGGAGGAAAGGCTCGCTATACGCGTCGACGCGGCGACGACGACGAGAGAACAGGCCGACGTTGTTCGCCGATGGGACCTGGGGTACGGATATTGGGCAGGCAGAAGCCAGCCAGGCAGGCCCGGCGATAAATCAGCGACGTCCCGCGGTAATATACTGCTCGGTCAGTCTGTTTAGCCGTAATAAAGCGCATTGCTCCCAGAACGACCGGAATCGAGAAGTCTCGCAAGGCGCGGTTTCGCCGAAACCCTTCGGCTGAATCGATAACGTTGCATCGCTCAACCTGCCTCAAGAGTGAATCTCTGCGTTCTGCAAAGGATCTCGTTTGTCGAGGATCAGGATGATCGAGTTATACACGCGTTTTCAATGACAGATTTGCATTTTTAACTTTTAAGGGCGCGCACATTCTTTTTTTGTTTCATTGATAATAATATCAATTAATAATAATAATATTAATAATGAATTTTATTAATAATAATAATATTATTAATAAATTTTATTAATAATAATAATATTAACAATGATAATAGAATACTCGGGTATCTACTGGGTGTTTTTGACACATGACACTGCTATAAATTCTTTATAGCAACTGATAAGCATGAAACATTATTTTGTTATGTGTACTGATATTCGGGCATTCTGAAATGTAAATTGGGAAATTATTTTTTATTGATAATTAAAAATTATTTAATTGTGAGTTATTTTTATTATGAAAGTAGACGCTGATCTGTCAATAATACTGATCAATAACTCTTACAGAGAGTTAAGACTCTCTCGGTGCTATCTAAACTCTTGAATTCTTGATGAGTCCTGTTATATATGAATGCTGTTTTTTTGTATTGGATTTGAAAGAATTAAAATATCTGCGGTTAGGATGCAAAATTCATTTTGAAAATATGAGAGAAGAAGAAAAAAGATAGAGAGAGAATCGCTGAAATCTTTCCAGAATGTCGCGTCGCCGAAAAGCTGCCTCAAGGACGAAGTAGAGAAAAATTTCTTTTCCAAGTGGGCGACAAATATCGTTTCTACCTCGATTCGATAGCAATCGAGGGAAAACAAACGCTCGCTCGAGGGGCCGAGGATAGATTATCCCGTCGAAGGTTACGCGAACCATTTTTTTCTCGTTTTTTTTTCGTCCCTTTTTTATCCTTTACGCCTAAAGCGAACTTATTTTTAGATGATCCTCGATAAAATATTAAACACGTTTAATATTTCAACTATTAGGCACACACACATGAATACCAAAAATTTCTCAATTTTTATGTACCTAATTTCAAATTCAATTTTTAATATCAAAATATAGTAAACAATATTATATGCATGTGAAGTATTTCTTTTACTTTTTATCGCAGAATTTTTGTTTGTTGAATACGGATTTGCTTCTTTTTTGTTGCACATACGCGAGTAACGTAAAAATATCGATACTCCCGACATCGCTGCAAAAAGCGCCGAAAAATTTTTAGATGGAAAAAGTATCTGCATAGATATTCCATAAATATGTAATAAGCGCTATAAATATCTTTCTGATGTTACGATCTCTTTTCCCGAACAAATGTATTTTCAATCGAGATACTTCAGTAAAAATTTCAATCTATATAAATTTAATCTCATTTATTCTCTCGCTTAATATACATGTATAATATATTTTCGTTTTTATTCTCTGACATATATCAGCTGATCGTACGGCAGTTGCTAACTTTTCTCTTTCCCACGAGCAACGTTGATTTCTTTCAATCACTATGTACTTTAGAAGAAATATACCCTTTAATATAAAATATTTTTTTATTTTTATTTTTTGACATAAATCAGCTGATCATATGTCAAACGCAGTCGCTAACTTTTTTCTTTACTACGACCAACGTTGATTTCTTTCAATCATCACGCACTTTAGAAGAAGTATATCCTTTAATATAAATTATATTTTTATTTTTATTCTTTGACATAAATCAGCTGATCGTACGTCAAACGCAATCAATCGCTAACTTTTATCTTTGTCACAAGCAACGTTGATTTCTTCGAATTACTAT